AGTTAAGATTAGAAGGCCTTGTTTAAGTATTTCCCTGAACCATCCAGTAACTCCTAGGTTATTTAGCCATTCATCCATTCTACCTCCAACAATTCTAAGCTCTTGCACATTTTCCTGCAATTTTCGCAGCTTAGCATGAATTGATTCAGAATGGTTAGATAAGTTCATGCAGCACATACTTTCGAAATCCCCACAACCATCCTGTAACAACATCTTTGTTACCTCCCAGGCTTGTGCGTTTCTAGTTGGAAAGGTTTCCGGCCAACCTGAAAAGGTGTCTGATAGTACCAACAGATGTCTATACCCCCTTTTTCTGTCCTTTTGCAAATTCTCTTGCAACATTTTATGTAGTGCCATTACCATCCATAGTGTTTTTGAAATAGTTTCCCGTTTCTACTTGATACTTAAATTTCATTTCTTTTTTCAATCTTCATCATTTATCATAGATCGTTTACAATTTCAGGAAGAACATTTTGTTATACCACAAGTAATCAATATTAAAACAATTAATAGTAATATTCCTGCAACCAGTTGCCTTAACCAGAAGAGATCAGGTAACCATGAAGTTAACTTTTTCCATATTTCCTCTACGGTTGCTGAGATATTTATGATTGCCTCACAAAACATCTCACAAAATGCAGTATTCTGTTCAGCAATAGGGTTAAACCCTCTCTTAACCAATACCATCCTTTCCCTTCAGGAACCAAGCTACCACTGAACCACGATACCATCTATACAATTTGAAGAGTGACCTACACCTGTGGCATTTAAACAAACATAGTCTCCTATTCTGGTTAACTATTCCAAATCTTAAAATTGCAGTGTTGGAAATTGGAATGCCAATTAATGGAAGGCCCTGGTCTTCTCCCGATTCAGGCAACTGTGCACACACCAAACAGTCACTACAATTAACAACTTTAGTAGCATTCTGCATTAATTTCAGGTATAAGTATTAGTCCCAAGCTGGTATGTCAGTTATCACATAAATCCAAATCACGACTGATATAATTTCATATGCGAGGGTCCTGAAGGTTTGATCCGCCACGTCTTCTATGGTTCTATATTCTTGCAAGCAGGTTGTTTCTTTATCTTCCCTGCTGTAAAGGTGGTCAATATTATCTGGTACGGTCCGCTCCACTTCTCCTGTAGAGGATCTCCTGAAAAATTCTTAACATAAACCCAGTCTCTGGATCTAAAAGGGTGAGTCGAATAATCCATGCCTCTCACTCTTGTCCTCAGTATTCTCTTACTTCTTCTAATTGCTTTCCCAGATTGACCAGAAATTTTAGGAGAAAGTCTTCTGGAAGTCGGAGAAGGTTTTCTCCTTTAAACTGGGACTGATACGGTCTTCCATATAAAATTTTACATGGGATAGCCTCTTCTTTCGACCGAGGTTTAGTTCAAATTCTTAATAGAGCCAGTGGTAAGGCTTGGTATTAATATTTTACTAATCTGTTGTTTGATCATCTTTTCTACTTGCCCACTGGCCTGAGGCCTGTAAGGAACATGTAGTTGCCTGATTTTTGCTAATTTCTTGTAACTCTTTTGCACTAAAGGGTGAGCCTCGGTCGGAAGAAATTGCCTCTGGTACTCCGAAACAAGGTATTATAGTGTTTAACAATGTTCCAATTACTTGTCTTGCATTATTTATTCTACAAGGGAATGCTTCTGGCCACCCTGAAAAAGTATTCATTAACACCAACAAATATTGGTCTCGGTAATTCAGAAAAATTTATTTGCCAGTGTTGTCCCAGATAAATTCCTCCCGAGTTGTACCAATTTGATTTCTATTTTCAATTTTAGGATTATTCTTGAGACAGAGCTGACATTGTCACTAATTGAACTGTGTTATATAGATTCCTTCCTGCAATTTGGTCATCTAAGTATTTATACAAAGAGTTGCTACCCCAATGAATTGTTATCTTTCTCCTGAACTAGCTTCCAGAGTTGCTTATAGGGGATTACAGTTCACCCATCAGGTATCTGAACCCAATCTTCTTTGTTTTCCTCTCCTTCAGGATCTCCGATTTTCTGTCCTCCTTTGAATATCTAGGTTTAGATTTCTCAATTGTTAGTTTGCCGTCAGGGATTAAGGGAATGAGTTTAGATTGTTCAATTTCTCATTTGGCTTCAGAATCGGACAAACTTCACCTTGTTGATGCCCTCGACAATACATAATAGCTACCTCCTCAGGTAGCTGAACAGTCCCTCTCTACTTCATGCACCGAACTGGATTCCAGTTAAGATCTTCCTTAACTGGAATAACTCCGAGGTTACCTACTTGCCTGATATTTTCACAAGCCACTTTGTTTTACTGGCCTTGTGGACAGTGGAAAGTTTGGGCCAGTTTCACTCCTTCTTATTCCTCTTACAAAGCACATTCGGAATGAAATATCATCACACACAAGAACATTATTCCGTTAGCTTTGGTAAATTAAAAGAGATTCACTGAGCACCACAAATAGCTGATTAAGATGTCGCATTTTTTTAATGCTAAGAAATACTACATTTCCTGCTACAGTAGCCTTAGTTATACGTTACTCTCAATAGTTATTCCTGCCGGATAGAAGAACTTCATCTAAATACAGCAAATTAACTCCCAAGGCACTTCCTTCATGCTTCTGGGCAGGCATCCTCACCCGGTTAAATAAACAGATTTTCAGAAGGGAAGAACTGATACAAAAGTTCTTCATGGCTTATGAATGCTTTTGTAATCTCACATTTCTCCAGAAATACCTTACTGGCTGCTTTTCACACCCTTGCACTTCTTGGTACCACTGATTCTGGCTTATTTGCATTACAGCTCTACTTGTACAGAGCTCAAACTGATGCACGCATTGCTCAAAAACAAAACCTGAAGTTGCGGAACAGAAGACTCGAAACAGGTGATGTGAGCAGCTCTGAGATCACGCTGCTTTTCAAACGCAGGACATACGACTCCAAATCATTTCTAGAAAGAGTTTAAATGTGTTCCATTAAGCAAAGGTATCTCCACGCCGACACTTGTTCAAGGATTGTACCTCCGCTGGTTGAGTTTCACTCCCTTGAAAGTACTTGTATCTGAACAGGCATCCAAGCAGACCACAATTCCACACGCTCTGGGGAAAATCTGAGGTGTAGAAACGTTTACTTTGTTCTTTTCCTCTCAGCCTTTATGGCAAACATGCAATAAAGCAGAACGCTGGCAGGATGACACCCCATGCAAAACAGGGCACATCAGCAAGACTGGAACAACCAACCAGCCTCGCCTTGACAGTCAAAAGGGGATTTCAAACACATCGCCTTGGTAAGTCTGTGGCTTTGCCAGGACGGCACGTTTCCCTGTGCTGTATGCCGAGCTGCTCTGCAACTCCACCAAGCAAAATTGCTTTGATAAAGCAGTGGGTCCCCAAAGCGGTCACTGGCACAGCAGGCACGGCTCAGGTTCAACAAGTCTGTGAAAAACTGCCTGCTACCGGAAGCAGTCCAAAAAAGCCACCCTGTGCGTCCAGCATGGAACTAGGGGCTTTCCCTTAAGAACAGCACGTGCACTGGGAGTAGAAAAGCATCGCGGTAAAACCCCAGCTCCCGCGGCACGAGCGGCGTTGTTCCTTGCTTGGCGAGGAGGCGGCGGCTCCTCGCGGGGCCTGCGGCCTCCCGCGGGGAATCGAACGCTTGGATTCTCGCCGTCCTCACGTCCCGTCCGTTAGTTGCCATGAGCACAGAGTCGCCCCAGGCCGCCCGCTGCTGCGCTCCTGCTTCCGGACGGTCCTGGAGCTGCGAGCCCGGAAAGCGACACCTGGGGAGGGGTTGAGGGCACCGAGGCGGGGCGGGGCGGCGCTGAGGCTGTCCCCGCACAGTGGTTGCCGCGGGTGGGAAGTGCCGAGCGGGGCTGGGTCGTAGCGTGAGGTGGAGCGGGTAGGGCGAGGCGAGGTGAGGTGAAGCGAGGGATCCCTCGGAGCCGCGCTCTGCCCTCGCCTTCCGCGTCAGGGTCTCTTTGGTTTGGCTGTGTTTGGGCTCTTGCCGCTCCCAAGCGCGGACATGCTGCGTGCCGCGCCGGTCCGTGAGAGCAGCGGTGCCAAACTGCTCTTAGGAACCAAAACCTGTCGGAAAGGCAGAGCGGGGGGTGAGCGGGTAGGTGCTTCAGGCTTAGCGCTGGTGACGGAAGGCCGGACAGTTCCATCTGGAACTGCTACTATGACGTTAACCGGCTTCGAGAGCTTCTCTTGCGACCCGGGAGAAGCAGACCCTCAGACCCCGGTGAAACACTGGGCAGCCGCGCCTTGGGAGAGCAGAGAAGCCCCTGGGCGGACGGAGACCACGGTCCCGGGACGGACACAGACCCCGACGCCGTCCCCGACCCCGGAGCTGACAAACTCGGACCCCTTTGCTTCCAGGTAAGGTTAAAGTGATAATTAACTGCGGGTTTCCTGGGTTGGCAGCTGGATTATTTTTGATGAAAGTAAACAAGCGTGGCGTGTGTGTATGGGTTTGTGTGTGTGTGTTTGTGTGTGTGTTCGGGTTGTTCCTTATTTCGAATTTGTGTGTGTGTATACGTTTGGGTTTTGGTTTTGTGGTTTTTTTTGGGGGGGGTGGTTTTGCTTTTTTGTTGTTGGTTTAGTTTGGGTATCTTTTTCTTACGGTAGTGTTGCATTGTGGAAGTGTCGTTTGCAATTTAGAGACATAGAAGTGCTTTCATGTCTTCATGTCTACTACAGTAGTAGTAGTTTTGTATTGCTCCTTATTTCTACGTAGGTGTTTTTGTGTATGTTATTGTTTTACAGTCACCGCTGCCAGTGTTTGTTTTGTCATGAGACAAATGTGTAATTGCACTTAACGGCAGTTTTGTGAGTGGGGTTTTTAGTTTGGTTGTTGTCGTTTGTTTTTTTTTTCATATTTCTTACCAGCTATTTAGTTCTTCAAGTTATCTCTTTGATACTGAGTGACAGAATTTCCTTCTGGAATGCTTCTTGATAGTCTTAAGTCAACCAGAACTTTTACCTCTGTTACAGATACGAACAATGACTTTAAAGAGAGTATCTTCAGTATTTAAAAACCTGTCACAACCTGAGGAAGATGCAGAGAAAGCACCGACAGGTTCTGTGTATTCTAGAGCCTCTGAAAAACCTAAGCCTTTTGGCCAGGAAGAGCAAAGTTAGTGTGTCTTCTGTCCTTCCCCTCCTTTCTTCAGAACAAAATACCCAAAAGTTAGAAAACGCAGTTCTCATTTGTTGCACTGATACAAGATGATGACTAAAGCCTTCAGCACTAGGCTGCAATTTTGTGAGTCCCCTAAGGCAACTGAAGGGACTGGTATTGGAAAACCTGTAGTTTTATCTTTAAAAACCTACTTGCAACAATGGGTTTGAGGAGGTTTTTATAATACACAGACTTAGCCAGGTCTTCTGTGCTGTGCAGAGAAAAGTACATTTTACCTTTGTGTTTACGGCTTCCATTATTCACAAGCCTTTGAATGCTAACCCTGCTCAGGAAGAGGTCTGGTATCCGTAGGGTTACCTGCTCCGCTGGTTACTCGCTTACTTTTCCATCCTAGTTCTTACAATCTGTTCATGTTGTTTTGCGTTGTGGAGCGGACCTGGTTCTTCTGGGTCCTCCTGCAGAATGCTCCCTTTTAAACATGCTTTTTCAAAGAGAAACAGTAACTATTTTTTGAAATCTGATTTTCTTGCAGTCGTTAACGATGGAATTGCCCCACCACGTAAAATTCTTTTTCCACCTGAGAAAATCTGCATGGATTGGCAACAGCCACTGAACGTTGGAGTTGGACTGTGGAATCTGGGCAATACGTGTTACCTTAATGCTACTTTACAATGTTTGACGTACACACCTCCTCTGGCCAATTACATGCTGTCTCTTGAACACAGCAAGTCATGTGAGTACTTTCTAACATGATTATAAATACGTTGGGCAGCTGCAAAGGTGAAAGAACAAGAGTGATTCTGTGGAGAAAATGCGTGGCTTTCCCGTTTTACCTGTCGAAGCTGGCTTTGACTGCCATCTTCGTGGTCTTTTTCAACGTAAATGATTCTGTGATTCCATGCTTATTTAACAGGAAGCTCAGAATGGCATATAAAGTGCATTTGTTCATTTAATGCCCAATGGCAAAGTTGCAAATAAAGAGCATTTCTTGCTTTGTGTGAATAGCGAAATACGTTGTAAAGGAAGGCATTTGACGAACATTTGGCATTTGTGTTTCCTGCTGGTAGAAAGGTGGTAAAATGTAGGATGTTGGCATCGTAGCGTCTTCGTCTCTGCAGCCTAGATAGCGTCATGTGCTAGTACTGCAATAAATGACATGTTCACTATTGACCCATTAAAAAAGCCCACACCCTAGAAAGCACTACGAGATAATTTCTGCTGACCTGAAACGGAAATTTGTGTGGGGCAGTATTAAAATTTAGACTGGTTTTATTCTAGTTAAAAGTTTGTATTTTTTAAGCCTTTGAATTTGTGTTCTTCCCTTTTCCATTCTATGCTTGAACTGATTTGGCATAGGAGCCTCTTTTCATATCCTTCTTAGGTCTATTTTGACAAAGGTACATGCATGCTTTTTGGTTTGGCATCTTTGTGTTTATTCCTAGAAATTTAACTGTGGGTTTTTTTGACATAGATAAAAATGCTTCCAGTTAAGAACCCTGTTGCAAAAAGGAGGGCAGAAATACTTATACATACCTTCCTTTAACCTTTCCTTTCTCCCAGAGGATTCTTAGCTCTGTGTCATGTAGCTCACCTAACAGCAATATGCTGAAAATCGCACGCATTCTCTCTTAGCGCTGTGTCATCAATATCAGTAGTGTTTTTTGTGGCTGTTGTTTTCTGGGTTTGTTCTTTTTTTGGTAGCAATGCTTATTTGACTAGACTGTGTTGCTTCTTTCACTCTTCAGGTCACGAAAAAGGCTTCTGTATGATGTGTACATTGGAAGCTCACGTTAACCAGGCCCTGTGTTTCTCTAATAATGCTATCAAACCTATATCTGTTATCAATGGCCTTAAAAGTAAGTCATTTCAGATGGTTTTCTTTTGATATATTGGGTAACTTCAAAGCACTCTCTGATGCATAGAAATGATTTTGATACTTTTAGAAACGTGAGTTTTCTTTCATTTTCTAGGAGATAAATATAACCACCTTCTTATTTATTAGGTATAGGAGAACATTTCTGTTACGGCAGTCAAGAGGATGCACATGAATTCTTGTCCTTCACTGTTGATGCTTTGCAGAGAGCTTGCTTGAATGGAAGCACCACGTACGCATAAACGAATTATTTAACCCTTAGATGTTCTCTAGCCCCTTTTACTCCTTTCTTTACTATACTACATTAAAATGACTGTCCTTGGTAAAAACTGTTTGAAGAGTTAACTCTGAGCCTTGTATCATCTGAGGCCTGATTTATCATTTCTTTCCAGATGGGACACATCTTCTCAAGCCACTACACTTATTTATCAAATATTTGGAGGATACCTAAGATCCCAAGGTACTTGTTACAATTCTTCCTGTCCTTTGAACTGGTCTGTGTCTGTTTGTCTGTAGTAAAGGACTTTGTGCTTTGACTAAAGTAAAATGTATGAAGACTCTAAATTTGTCCAGTCAGTGTTAAGCATTTGTATTCTGATTCCAGTAAAATGCTTGAACTGCAAAGCCGTTTCGGACAGGCACGAGCCATTCCTCAGTATTACTTTGGATATAGAGGTAAGGTGTTTTGTGAATACGGCTCGAGCTGCATAAGGACCTGTAGAGCTTTCCAGATAAAGGCATTTTACTTAAAAATATACACTGCTAAAAGGAAAGAGCTTGGTGTTGAGTGGGAGTGGATTGGGCTTTGGTCTTGTGTGGAAGGCATCTAGATGCTCTCCATGTTTGCAGTGGGTTTAACCTGTAAAAACAGTAATCACATCTACACAAACACCTATACCCTCACACTTCTCTGTTATTCTGCTTCAGCATCTATAAATCTATCGTTAGGCTGATGGGTTTGCTTGTTCTCATTATTGATGCCGTAGCATAGTACAGATGGTGTCTGTGGCACTGCAAACTTTATCCTTTTATTTCAAAGTAGCATCATTTCCACAGGAGGTAAATGCTCAGCGTACTCTGAGGTTTCTGCCTCCTTCACGGTGGTTGCCGGTTGACAGTAGGTCACTTGAGGATGAGCTAGCAAGGTTCTCTCGTTAACTACCAGGAAGTGTTTGAAATTCTGCATTTCCGGTGACTTAGTGCTCTACCTTCTTATTCATCCAGACCGTTACGTCTCTCACTGCGGCTCTAGAACAGTTTGTGAAACCTGAACAACTGGACGGAGTAAACAGCTATAAGTGTAGCAAGTAAGATTCCTACTAATTCCATCTGAGTCCAAGAGAAGGCGTTTAATGTGTCACGTGAATATTTGGAAATAGAAGAATTGTGGCCATTAGCTCATATTAGACTTTTATTCCTACTGCTGCCTACGCTGGGGTTTATTAGCCTTCGTCAGTGTGAGGTTGCACACAGAAATATTCTTCTGGCCAGAAGTTAAAGGGGATGTCTGCTAAGTAGGGGTGAGCTGAAGCACGGAGCTAAGGACAACGATTTGGGGTGGGAGGCAACATCAGCTGGCTGAAGGTCCTAGTGTTCCGTGTGAAAGGATAATGTTCTAAGTCCTTTGTTTTGTAGAGCTGTCCGCTTACATGCTGTTACCTTCTGTCTATTAACAAACGTGAAGCGCAGCATATGGGTTCATAAGCCTGTGCGAGAGATGAAAACTTGTTTGAGTTTTGGGAGGGGGAAGAATTTGCTGTTAAACATTTGTCTGTGCTTGTTTTTAAGGTGCGAAAACATGGTTCCTGCCTCCAAGAGGTGCACGATACATCGCTCCTCCAAAGTTCTCATCGTATCACTGAAAAGATTTGCAGATTTTACTGGTGGCAAGATCAACAAGGTATATTTGCAGCTGTAAAGCAGCTTTATCTTCTTGGAATGGGTGATTTCCCCAAGAAAATATCATTTTAAACGGGGGAAGTTTAGATTGGATATAAGGAAGAAATTCTTTACTGTTAGGCTGGTGAGGCATTGGAATGGGTTGCGCAGGGAAGTTGTGAATGCTCCATCCCTGACGGTGTTCAGGGTCAGGTTGGGCAGAGCCTTGGGTGGCATGGTTTAGTGGGAGGTGTCTCTGCCCACGGCAGGGGGGTTGGAACTAGATGATCTTAAGGTCCTTTCCAACCCTAACTATTCTATGATTCTACGGTTTAAAAGTTGTTAATGTTTGCAGGCTGTAAGTGTAATAACAATAGTCTAAGAAAAGTCAATCTAACAACTATGGCTTACGGTAACCATAAGAGTATACCTCACTCTTAGAGTTAATTCTGCAGAAAACAGTTCTCTGCAGCTTCAATTATGAAATATTGTTTCTGAGAATAGGTATTTTTAAATGAATCAAGACTATATTTGTGTGATCCTAGCCTGTGTTTTGAGAAGGGTTTTTGTCAGGCTGTTCCATGAAGTGTTTCAGGGTAATTTTTGAATCTTCCTGGTTTGTGTTTAGGATGTGGAATACCCTGAATATTTGGATCTTCGAGCATATATGTCCCAGTCAAGGGGAGAACCACTCATGTATTCTTTATACGCAGTTCTTGTTCATTCTGGTTTCAGCTGCAATGCAGGACACTATATCTGCTTCATAAAGGTGGGTATCAGCTTGATTTCTAACAGGGTAAAATAAACAAAGAAAATCAATGTTACCGGCAACCACCATTTTGATGGAGAAAGGTTGAATGATGTGTTCCGTTTGATTTGTTTGGTACGTTTCGTGCTGTAGTGTTCCGCCTGTGATGTCATTTGGACATCATGCATTTTGTCTGAAGACGCCACTGTCTTTTGTTTGCAGGCCGGCAATGGGTTTTGGTATCGAATGAATGATGCCATAGTGGAGCGTTCCGATATCAAAACGGTTCTCAATCAGCAAGCTTATTTACTTTTTTATATCAGGTAATACCAACTACTGAATCTGTTCAGAATATATTTACTTTCCTGTTACTGATACTTTTCTTTTTTTCCAAGTGTTTTTCTTTCTGTCCTAGGAAAAGTTTACTGTTTCTGTAATTCAGTTCTGTCTAACCTGAACTTACCGCTGTCGTTTACTGTCTTTCATTGCTTGGCCTTAAACTGGTGTGCTTGTGTACATTGCTCTGTATCCGCTCTACGTAGCAGGGTAATTTAGAAGAGGAGAAATAACACCGTAGATGGCATAAGGGTGAGATGTTGCTCTGACAAGAATAGTCATTGTAGGGAGACCATTGTCTGTTTTTTTAGTTTGTAGTCTTGGTTGAGTCTTTTGTATGTGGCTTCTGTGTCACGTCATCTGTTCTTATAAAATTACAGATGGGGTTTTAATCCAAGAATAGATTGAAAGAAAAACTCTAAAGTGATATCACTGCTTTTTTCTCAAGGCGCTACGATTTGACAGTTGGAGAACGTGGTTTTTACTTACCAGCAACTTCTTATCCCCATTCATTCCTTGGTCAGCGGGGGCCTAATAGTAAGCAGGCTGGATTTATGGGAGCACGGCTTCCTCCTCGTATGATTAAGGTAATTTGCAGGGAGCAAATAATAGCACCAAATTGATAATGTTGTTTTCTTTTGATGGGGGGGGGGGGGGGGGTGGGGGGTGTGTAGCTTGTTGTTTTAGAGCATCTGATGAATTGTTTTCCCTCCCACACTGCAGCTTTCTTCACAACCATCATGCAACAGCCAGAATTTCACCTGAGATAGTACTTCATAAGTTTCATAAATATACTGGGGGGGAAGGGGTGATGTGTGAAATAGCAATGGTGCATGTAAGGCAAAGTGATCTTGTTTAATAACTAATGAGGAAATTTTGAAAACAGTTTTCTTCTGAAGGTGGTATTTTTTTGTCTGTTAACGTCTGCGTTTTAATTGTAGATACCTGTAGCTGAGTCACCGATTCCTCAAGAAATAGTCTTAGAATCCCTGGCCTACAGCCACCTGAACAGGTTGGCAGAGAAAACAAGGTAAATTGAGTACACTCTGATGAAAACAAGATTTCATACAAGTTTATCATTGTTTTACCCATCTACTAGTACTATTTAATAGAAAGCTTTACACAGTACAGCAAATTCCACACTGTATGTGTAGGGTTGCAGACATCAGCACTGAACATGTGTTATTCTGATATTAATGAAAGCAGATGCCTCCCAGAATGGTTCTGTTTCTTCATAGGATAATTTTACTTTTTTTTACAATTGGATTTCTTTTCCAATGTAAATTCCCACCTCGTGCCCTCCCATTTTGTGGAGAGAAGGGAAATGAATGAGTTGACTTTTTTCTAGTTTGGGGAGAGCAAAGGTAGTGGTTTTGGCTACTGATGCGATGCAGAGCAGTGAGCAGAGGGAGACAAATGTGTTGGGTGTGGGTTTTAATGTACTACTTGCAAGCTCAAGAGAAGAAAAACATCTTCTCTGGGCACTGCTGAATGTGTAAGAGTCGGTTTCTAAAGGGACTGCCTTACAGAGTCCCTTTAGAAAGCTACAGTTTCCAAACTGTGTAAGGGAGTTTAGAAACATACAGAGTTTACCAGTAGCCACCAAATCTTTTACTTCAAGGGATTTTTGCTCCTAACATTTATCTTTTAGGGGAACTTTTTCAAGTGAAAAATGTGTTTTTGTTTTGTGCAGTGTCCCTGCACCTCAGAAGTCTGAGGGTGATCGTCTTATGGAAACCGTAGTGACGGAAACAGTGTTTGTCTATGAACAATCCAGGATGCCTCTTTCCGACCTTGGCTGTGAGGTTGAGAGTCCTTTTACTGTATCAGACTCTGAAACCACTGAAACCATTGCTACCGAAGACGTTGCTGAAAGTGTGATAACAAATGCTGATAACGTACATCCCAGTATCAGCGGTCAGCACAAGGTCAGGAAAATATCCTTGGATACTGAAGATGAATACCTTGGGCATTGTGAGTCTGAAGAAAGTAGAGACAAAGACAAACCAGGAAGACCAAAAGAACCTGTACTCTTTGCAAAAGGAGATCCTTCGTATATGAAAGGGTCTCCCGAGAGTGAAGAGAAATTATGGCAAGCTTCCTCTGTGAAGTCTGACATTGAATGTAGTCCTAAAAAAATTGTATGTCTAGGTGTTACAGATAAATGCCAAGATACAAAGGACATTTCTAATAACTATGTAGAGGTACCACCTGTTAATGACTCTTCTATTCCAAAGCTGGATAAAGTTCTGGAGAGTCAATTCCCCAGACAAAATGAGGGGCTGAATAATAAAAAATGCAAAGAGGATAATAGGCAAAAATACGAGGAGAAGGTACAGGACTCCAAAAAAACTGACAAAGAGCACTACCGAAAGAAGAGACAATACTCTGACAGTAAAGACCGGAAGCAAAGCAGGAGCAAAGCGGATGATCGTTCCTACAAAAGGAGGCGCTCTTGCAGCATGGAAACAAATAAGCAATATCATCATAAGCAGGATTATTGCAATGAAGGCAAGTACAGACCTTCCCATCATGAAAGAAACAGTCCAAATAATGGCAAAAGCTCAGGAAAATACTCTCGTTATAAATCCCGAAGCAGAGAAAGAACGGAACAAGACAGGAATAAGTATTACCATTCCAAAGGAGAGAGGACTTGGAACAGGGAAAGATACTACCAAGATGAATTACGGAGATGGGAAAAATGCAGATATTACAAGGATTATTACTCTGTTCATGGAACAGGTGATGGTAGAGAGAGGAAGTCCTCTCATTTTGATAAAGCCTTTGACAAATTGAGTCAATTCTACAAATCACGTAGGGATTATCACTGCAAGAGCAGATGGGCTCACAACACTCACTCCAGAGAGGAAGGAGCCCATCACTTGAGTAGCCACAGAGAGAACTTCCGTCACTGTTCAGTACCTCAGCAGTCTGAAAAACACTCTCGGGAAGGGCACGCACCTCCACCTGCCTCAGCTCATGCACGATTTGACAACTCTTTCTGGGAAAATGAGAAACTGAGGCTTGGCAAGAGGAAATACGGCGATGCAGAAGGAAGCGAAGCTGAAGTGGGAAAGAAACGCCGCAAGATAGATGACCAAAGAAAGAAAAAAGAAGGTCAAGAAGAAAATGAAGTCCAAAGAAAAATATCAAGAGAAGGATTACAAGTAAGCAGGGATTCCAGCATAATCTGCCATTTTTTTCCTAACTCTTTTCTGAATGTTTCCCATGCCTGCCTTTTTCCCATTGTTTCTAAGTGATTTATATAGGATAATCTGACTACGGGTTGGTCATTAGGTTGGTCAAGCAAACATAGGAGGGATGTTGCTGAATAGCTTTAGAATGCTAGATCTGGAGCACAAAGCGAAGAACCTGTCGTGGTTTAAGCCCAGCCTGCTGAACCCAGGACAGAACCACATCTGCGCCTGTTCCTGATTAGGTTGCAACAATTACGTATTTTTAATTCCACATATTCCACAATTAGCCCCTGTAAGGATTTGTGTACAAACCAAGACTTACTGTCATTCAGTCTGACGGCTAATGTTTGTTGCATCTAAAGTCTTATAGGAAGAAATTAAATGCCTTGCACCCCACCACACAGGTCAGGGGCATTACGATTAGTGCGCTATCTGTGTAGGCATAAGAGATGTTAACCGATAAACACAGTGATAGAACCCCACTTTGATCCACTGCTTGCAACACAAGTGGGATATGAGGGCTGTGAAAAGCAGTCTTTTAAGTCTGCAGAATTTTAGTATTTCCTCAAGTCCATAGATGTTAAGGAACTTCCTCTTGTGGAACGTCCGTCTTTAGAAATACTAAATAAATGGGTCCCAAGTAGGAATTTCTGGATAACGGAATCTCTCTCAAAAAAAGGCCACCGCAGCAGTGTGTTTTTAAAGAGCCTGGAACCTCTCAAACAGGCTAGGGACAGACAACAGCTGAGAAGGAATTGTTAGGTTGTGCCTTTTCACCAGGACTCCCCAGTAAATTAATAAGGATGGAAAGGGCTTGTGATAATGTGTGATTGAAGGAAAATGGAGGTGGGATGGGAGACGGAGCAGCTTTAAAGCAGCTGCTTCCTACATTCCTACAAATTCTCTCCAGCAAGTTTCTACAGGCTTCTGAAGGCTTAGTACGTAAGATCTGGTGAGCTTGAACCAGATCTGAACACCTTGGTAAAACAAGGATGCTGTCTAGACAAAACCTCACCTAAATTTACCTAAGCCTACCACTTGCTATGAAAGGAGGTAGCTTTGTCCTAATACTGTGTACAGTTCGCCCACCTTAGCGTAGATCCAAAATGCAGTTGGTTGGGATGTGAGGAAGCCACCTTCTCGAGTCTGTCGGATCCTGTAGTCACAGAGCAGACGGAGCTGCGTGCAGGCTTGAGACTTGTCGTTCAGAAACCAAACCACTGAGACAGGGTTTGACGTTGAATGTCATGACAGGGAGTGACACTGCTTTCTTCTGTCTTTCAGATGCAAAGCTCACTGATGGAATCCTTCAGTACCTGAACTAAACCTACCAACAAATCCCACTACTTCTTACCATCAAAACTGAGTCTTTACCATCAATCCTGATGGTTTACCATCGAACCTGGCTGTTTACCATCAAGAATGACTCTTTACCATCAAACCTGTTTACCATCGAACGTTGGCTTTGCCATCAAAACTGACTCTTTACCTCCAAGCCTCGTTGCTTACCATCAAACGTGACTGTTTACCATGGAACGTGGCTTTACCACCAAACCTGCTTACGATCGAATCTGGCTTTACCATCAAAACTGACTCTTTGCCATCAAACCTGTTTACCATCAAACCTGGCTTTACCATCAAAACCGACGACTCTTTGCCGAAAAAAACTATGACTCTTTATCTTCAAACTGGACTTTATCGATACTATCGAAACTTAGAATTTATTATTGAAACATTTACCGTCAAGGCAAAATCCATCTGTTTTAATTCCATTTTCTTAATATACCGTCACTTGTCTGAAGTCTCAGTTGTCTGGTTTTGTCTCCCTAAAGTGGTTAGCTAAAGACAAATTCATACTGTGATTTTAATTTTGATTATTAAATGCTGTCAAACTGTGATGCACTTCATAGTCACTGGTCCTGCATCAGGAGACCAGTGAGTGGGAACCTCTGTGAAATACAGTTCATCTGACTAATCTGTCTGGTTAATGAATCGACTTGAGGAGAAGAGATCTGAGTTGTTCCCCCACTTGCCTTATATTTGACTGAAGCTCATGGAAGGCAACGGGCAAAATCCCTCCTTAATTTAGGGTGGGAAACCAGCTGTTAATGGAGTAACATTCATAGCAACACAGCTATGAGTGTTCAGCCTTACAAAAACAACCGATTTTGCAGCTGAGGAGTTTTCTCTCTGAAAAATTCAACCTGTCAATTTAAATCAGTGTGCTTAAAGGTAGGCAAAGAGGCCTTTTACTTACAAGAACAGTTGCAAAATCAGATCTTAACCTCTTAACTAAATCAGCACATTTTCTATTCAAACTGTAGCTAGAAACATTTTACAAGGAAATGCAGAAAAGGAATTTGTAAGCCAAAAGTCTTAGTTTGTAGGATTTGGTCTACAGGAGTCTTAGCTTTTCCAGCCAGCATATCTACCTAGGTATGTACTAAATCTTAAAAATATGTATAGTTTTCAAACACTAGAAAGCATTATAAATGCTGCTCAGTTGACAGAGGTTCTGTTTTGTACCAGTTTAAACAGGTTCAAAATGTGAAGCAACGTAAAGCTTATTTTGTCAGAATAGTGTCAGTTTTAAGTCAGTCCGGCTGAGCTGAAGTTTCCCGTGCATTTCTCTGCCTGCACTGCACTGGCACCGTGGCTGATGGAAGCAGCCACACAGTTCAGATGCTGAGCGAAGACGCCTGCCTGGCTCTGGCTGGCCCCTGCAGCTGCAAAGGGCAGCATTGAAAACCGGGAGCAGAAGAACTGCACGCGTTTCAGTGCAACAGGAAGGGAGAAGTTTGTCGTCCCCAGAGGGCTTTTCCTCAGCACGGCCAACCTCTAACAGGTGCTGCTTTAGGCCACTGAGCAGCCAGTCTGTCTGAGTAGCTACCCCTGGACTTAAAGCCCAATAGTAAAAGGGAAAAAAAAAGGTTGAGAGTTTTTTTCTTCACCCGCATGGGTAGTACCTACTTGCGTGACATTTTCACAAGCCACTTTGTTTTACTGGCCTTGTGAACAGTGGAAAGTTTGGGCCAGTTTCACTCCCTCTTATTCCTCTTACAAAGAACATTCGGAATGAAATATCATCACACACAAGAACATTATTCCGTTAGCTTTGGTAAATTAAAAGAGATTCACTGAGCACCACAAATAGCTGATTAAGATGTCGCATTTTTTTAATGCTAAGAAATACTACATTTCCTGCTACAGTAGCCTTAGTTATACGTTACTCTCAATAGTTATTCCTGCCGGATAGAAGAACTTCATCTAAATACAGCAAATTAACTCCCAAGGCACTTCCTTCATGCTTCTGGGCAGGCATCCTCACCCGGTTAAATAAACAGATTTTCAGAAGGGAAGAACTGATACAAAAGTTCTTCATGGCTTATGAATGCTTTTGTAATCTCACATTTCTCCAGAAATACCTTACTGGCTGCTTTTCACACCCTTGCACTTCTTGGTACCACTGATTCTGGCTTATTTGCATTACAGCTCTACTTGTACAGAGCTCAAACTGATGCACGCATTGCTCAAAAACAAAACCTGAAGTTGCGGAACAGAAGACTCGAAACAGGTGATGTGAGCAGCTCTGAGATCACGCTGCTTTGCAAACGCAGGACATACGACTCCAAATCATTTCTAGAAAGAGTTTAAATGTGTTCCATTAAGCAAAGGTATCTCCACGCCGACACTTGTTCAAGGATTGTACCTCCGCTGGTTGAGTTTCACTC